ACACCAGTATATACACCAACGGTTTGTAAAAGATACATAAACACCAGTATATACACCAACGGTTTGTAAAAGATACATAAAACACCAGTATATACACCAACGGTTTGTAAAAGATACATAAACACCAGTATATACACCAACGGTTTGTAAAAGATACATAAACACCAGTATATACACCAACGGTTTGTAAAAGATACATAAACACCAGTATATACACCAACGGTTTGTAAAAGATACATAAACACCAGTATATACACCAACGGTTTGTAAAACACATAAACACCAGTATATACACCAACGGTTTGTAAAACACATAAACACCAATATATACACCAACGGTTTGTAAAACACATAAACACCAGTATATACACCAACGGTTTGTAAAACACATAAACACCAATATATACACCAACGGTTTGTAAAAGATACATAAACACCAGTATATACACCAACGGTTTGTAAAACACATAAACACCAGTATATACACCAACGGTTTGTAAAAGATACATAAACACCAGTATATACACCAACGGTTTGTAAAACACATAAACACCAATATATACACCAACGGTTTGTAAAACACATAAACACCAGTATATACACCAACGGTTTGTAAAAGATACATAAACACCAATATATACACCAAAGGTTTGTAAAACACATAAACACCAGTATATACACCAACGGTTTGTAAAAAACACATAAACACCAGTATATACACCAACGGTTTGTAAAAAGATACATAAACACCAATATATACACCAAAGGTCTGTCACACAAACCAATCAATATACAGTTAATGAGATTTTTTTTTCCACCAAATACATGGAGCAGAATTCATTTTGGCCAAAGTTCATGAAGAAATTTGATTTTTTTTCTAAATGTTTTTATTGGACATGTTTTATAGCAAAAAGTAGAAAAATGTAGTTTTGGGGGTTTTTTTTTTACAACATTTTTGGTCTTTTGGTTTTTGTTTAATAAATAAAATGATAAACCCAATGATGATCAAATGCCACCAAAATAAAGCTTTATTTGTATGAAAACAAATGATATAAATGTTGTTTGGGTACAGCGTTGCATGACAGCGCAGTTGCCAGTTAAAGCAGCGCAGTGCTAAATAGCAGAAAATGGCCTGTTCAGGAAGAGGGTCAAGCTTGTTGCCCAAAAAGGAGCAGGAGCTTTTTCTGGGCAAAAGACATGCATGGGGCAGCTCATTGAAGTAAATGGGCCGTCCTATGTATGACACGCGGCAAGGCGCGCAACTTACGCTTTTAAAGTTGCGATCGGGGGAACACTTATTCCTGAAGCGCAATATCTGACCGGGGCATTAACGTGTTTTAGATGCAGGGAGGGTTTGGGACCTCTGTCAGGATCTGATTACCATCCGAGCTGCCCTTCCCAGGACAGGAACTGAGGGGAAATCTCAGTGTACACAGTGTAGGGAAGGGGGTGGGGGTGAAGAAAGTGTACACAGCGTAGGGAAGGGGGTGTGGGTGATGACTGTGTACACAGTGTAGGGATGGATGGGGGTGATGACTGTGTACACAGTGTAGGGATGGATGGGGGTGATGACTGTGTACACAGTGTAGGGATGGATGGGGGTGATGACTGTGTACACAGTGTAGGGATGGATGGGGGTGATGGCAGTGTACACAGTGTAGGGATGGATGGGGGTGATGACTGTGTACACAGTGTAGGGATGGATGGGGGTGATGACTGTGTACACAGTGTAGGGATGGATGGGGGTGATGACTGTGTACACAGTGTAGGGATGGATGGGGGTGATGACTGTGTACACAGTGTAGGGATGGATGGGGGTGATGACTGTGTACACAGTGTAGGGATGGATGGGGGTGATGACTGTGTACACAGTGTAGGGATGGATGGGGGTGATGGCAGTGTACACAGTGCAGGGAAGAGGGTGGGATGAGAACCGTGTACACAATGTAGGTATGGATGGGGGTGATGGCAGTGTACACGGTGTACAAGATGGATGGGGATGATGGCTGTGTACACAGTGTACCCAGATGGATGAGGATGATGGCTGTGTACACAGTGTACCCAGATGGATGAGGATGATGGCAGTGTACACATATGGAGGGGGAGGGGGGGTGATGGCAATGGCAGGGTACATGTTGTACACAGGTGGATGGGGGTGATGGCAGTGTACACATATGGAGGGGGAGGGGGGGTGATGGCAGGGTACATGTTGTACACAGGTGGATGGGGTGATGGCAGTGTACATGGTGTAGTGATGGAGGGAGGGGGGTGATGGCAGCGTACACGGTGTATACAAATGGATGGGGGGGGGGGGTGATGGCAGAGTACACAGGGGGGTGTGGTGGCAGTGTACGCGATGTACACAGATGGAGGGGGGTGGTGGCAGTGTATACAGATGGATGGGGGGGAGGCTATGGCAGTGTACACATGGAGGGGGTTGCTGTCAGTGTACACATGGGGTGGTTGCTGTCAGTGTACACATGGGGGGGAAGGGAGTGCTGTCAGTGTACACATTGAGGGGGGGTGATATCAGTGTACACATGGGGGGGAAGGGGCTGCTGTCAGTGTACACATGGAGGTGGTTGCTGTCAGTGTACACATGGGGGGGGAGAGGGTGCTGTCAGTGTACACATGTGGGGAGGGGGGTGCTGTGAGTGTACACATGGGAGGGGAGGGGGGTGCTGTCAGTGTACACATGGGGTGGTTGCTGGTTATCCCTTCGATAATGTGCCTTAGCACGAAACGCGTCAGAGAGGAGCCTTGCCGTACTGACGTCACGCCACCGAGGCCGCATGGTGGTCCGGCGGCCATCTTGGTTGCTGTATGTACTGCTGTTTGATTATTCTCTTTACTTTGAAACTGTGCCAAAGATATATGAAAAATACTACACAAATCCCTGTCTGGAGGCTTGTATCGGAGCCATTTCAGGGTGGAATAGTACCTGTCTGGCAGTCGGTTTTTATGATGGATGTGTATGGAAGGACCTGTCCCCGTATGCTGTGAGGGTCCCGTGGAGAGGTTTGGAGGGCCATTTCTGTGTGTATATACCAGTGGAGCCCCCTGCCGCTGACCAGACCCTGATGACCACCAGTGTTCTTCTGGGTTAGTATTACATGCGCAATTAACGTGATCTTCTGGTGAGTGCGAGCAGATCTCATTGTTACCACGACAAGTCACCAGTTTTGTCTGGACTATAATATCAGTGTTGGATCCTTTTACATGTTGGATATATTTATTGATATTTATCATATATTTATTTGTTGTTGTGTGACACATCCATTCACATCTGTGCTCGTCGTTCAGTAAATGAGATCATCTTGCACTATCATTTATCATTTTGCACTTTTGTGCACCTTTATGTACGCAGTCAGATTTTCCTTCCTGGAAGCGCTAGTCACTTTCTACTTATAGCGCTGAATATTTGTTTACAATGCTGTCAGTGTACACATGGCGGGGGGGGTGCTGTCAGTGTACACATGGCGGGGGGGGGTGCTGTCAGTGTACACATGAAGAAGGGGTGCTGTCAGTGTACACATGGAGAAGGGGTGCTGTCAGTGTACACATGGAGAAGGGGTGCTGTCTGTCAGTGTACACATGGAGAAGGGGTGCTGTCAGTGTACACATGGCGGGGGGGTGCTGTCAGTGTACACATGGAGAAGGAGTGCTGTCAGTGTACACATGGCGGGGGGGTGCTGTCAGTGTACACATGGAGAAGGGGTGCTGTCAGTGTACACATGGAGAAGGAGTGCTGTCAGTGTACACATGGAGAAGGGGTGCTGTCAGTGTACACATGGGGGGGTGCTGTCAGTGTACACATGGAGGGGGGTGATTGCTGTCAGTGTACACATCAGTGGGAGCGGGGTGATATCAGTGTACACATGGGGTGGGTGCTGTCAGTGTACACGGGGGAGGGGTGCTGTCAGTGTACACAGGGGAGGGGTGCTGTCAGTGTACACATGGAGGGGGTGCTGTCAGTGTACAGGGGGGGGGGAGTGCTGTCACTGTACAGAGGGGGGGGGTGCTGTCACTGTACAGAGGGGGGTGCTGTCAGTGTACAGGGGGGGTGCTGTCAGTGTACAGGGGGGGGGTGCTGTCACTGTACAGAGGGGGGTGCTGTCAGTGTACACGGGGGAGGGGTGTGCTGTCAGTGTACAGGGGGGGTGCTGTCAGTGTACACATGGAGGGGGGTACTGTCAGTGTACAGGGGGGTTGCTGTCACTGTACACAGGGGGGGGGGGTGCTGTCAGTGTACAGGGGGGGTGCTGTCACTGTACACGGGGGGTGCTGTCAGTGTACAGAGGGGGGTGCTGTCAGTGTACACGGGGGAGGGGTGCTGTCAATGTACAATGTACACGGGGGAGGGGTGCTGTCAGTGTACAGGGGGGGTGCTGTCAGTGTACGGGGGGGGGGGGTGCTGTCAGTGTACAGGGGGGGTGCTGTCAGTGTACACAGGGAGGGGTGCTGTCAGTGTACGGGGGGGGTGCTGTCACTGTACACGGGGGCACGGGGGGGGTGCTGTCACTGTACACAGGGGGGGGGGGGGTGCTGTCAGTGTACGGGGGGGGGGGGGGTGCTGTCAGTGTACACGGGGGGGGGGGGGTGCTGTCACCGTACAGGGGGGGGGGGGGGGGTTGTGCTGTCACTGTACACAGGAGGGGGGGGGTGCTGTCAGTGTACGGGGGGGGGGGGGGGTGCTGTCACTGTACACGGGGGCACGGGGGGGGTGCTGTCAGTGTACGGGGGGGGGTGCTGTCAGTGTACAGGGGGGGGGGGGTTGCTGTCACTGCACACGGCGCACACACATGGTGGCGGAGGGAGGAGGCCCCGTGCTGCGCTCCCGTTATTCTCCATGCATGGTGCGGTGTGCTCCGGGGGGAGGCCGGCTTCTCCTCTCTCATATAGCGCCCTCTAGGCAGCGGAAGTTCTCCTCTCCAGACATCCGCCGAGCGGTGGGAGCCATCAGTGGTGTGCCCGGCCCCTGATCGGGGGCCCCTCCGGCCATGAACCCCAGCCCCGCCGCCGAGGGATTGCCGGCTGTACAGTGTGAGTAGAAGATCGGTGCTGGTTCCGGGGTTCGGAGGGGGGAGGGGAGCATCGGGAACCCCGAAACCTGCAGAGCCGGGAACCACGGAACGTGCAATAGTGATACAATGTAACAAGAGGAGCTCCCGGCGTGCACCGCGACCGCCCGAGATACTCTGATCCCCATACATTGTGCTGGACACCTGACTGCCTGATCCCCTCCTACATCCATCTCTGTGTATTACAAGGATACGTTGTCACCTCTGTATATTATACAAGGATACATTGTTACCTCTATATTATACAAGGATACGTTGTTACCTCTATATTATACAAGGATACATTGTCACCTCTGTATATTATACAAGGATACATTGTTACCTCTATATTATACAAGGATACATTGTTACCTCTATATTATACAAGGATACATTGTTACCTCTCTGTATATTATACAAGGATACATTGTCATCTCTGTATATTATACAAGGATACATTGTTACCTCTATATTATACAAGGATACATTGTTACCTCTCTGTATATTATACAAGGATACATTGTCATCTCTCTGTATATTATACAAGGATACATTGTTACCTCTATATTATACAAGGATACGTTGTTACCTCTATATTATACAAGGATACGTTGTTACCTCTATATTATACAAGGATACGTTGTCACCTCTATATTATACAAGAATACATTGTCACCTCTATATTATACAAGGATACATTGTTACCTCTATATTATACAAGGATACATTGTCATCTCTATATTATACAAGGATACATTGTCATCTCTATATTATACAAGGATACATTGTTACCTCTATATTATACAAGGATACATTGTCATCTCTATATTATACAAGGATACATTGTCATCTCTATATTATACAAGGATACATTGTTACCTCTCTGTATATTTATACAAGGATACATTGTCACCTCTATATTATACAAGGATACATTGTCACCTCTATATTATACAAGGATACATTGTTACCTCTATATTATACAAGGATACATTGTCATCTCTATATTATACAAGGATACATTGTCATCTCTATATTATACAAGGATACATTGTTACCTCTCTGTATATTATACAAGGATACATTGTCACCTCTATATTATACAAGGATACATTGTCATCTCTATATTATACAAGGATACATTGTCATCTCTATATTATACAAGGATACATTGTTACCTCTCTGTATATTATACAAGGATACATTGTTACCTCTATATTATACAAGGATACATTGTCACCTCTATATTATACAAGGATACATTGTCACCTCTCTATATTATACAAGGATACATTGTCACCTCTCTATATTATACAAGGATACATTGTCACCTCTCTATATTATACAAGGATACGTTGTCACCTCTCTGTATATTATACAAGGATACATTGTCACCTCTCTGTATATTATACAAGGATACATTGTTACCTCTATATTATACAAGGATACATTGTTACCTCTATATTATACAAGGATACATTGTTACCTCTATATTATACAAGGATACATTGTCACCTCTCTGTATATTATACAAGGATACATTGTCACCTCTATATTATACAAGGATACATTGTTACCTCTATATTATACAAGGATACATTGTCACCTCTCTGTATATTATACAAGGATACATTGTTACCTCTATATTATACAAGGATACATTGTCACCTCTCTGTATATTATACAAGGATACATTGTTACCTCTATATTATACAAGGATACATTGTTACCTCTATATTATACAAGGATACATTGTTACCTCTATATTATACAATGATACATTGTCACCTCTCTGTATATTATACAAGGATACATTGTCACCTCTCTGTATATTATACAAGGATACATTGTTACCTCTATATTATACAAGGATACATTGTTACCTCTATATTATACAAGGATACATTGTCACCTCTCTGTATATTATACAAGGATACATTGTCACCTCTCTGTATATTATACAAGGATACATTGTCACCTCTATATTATACAAGGATACATTGTCACCTCTATATTATACAAGGATACATTGTCACCTCTCTGTATATTATACAAGGATACATTGTCACCTCTCTGTATATTATACAAGGATACATTGTCACCTCTCTGTATATTATACAAGGATACATTGTTACCTCTCTGTATATTATACAAGGATACATTGTTACCTCTATATTATACAAGGATACATTGTTACCTCTATATTATACAAGGATACATTGTCACCTCTATATTATACAAGGATACATTGTTACCTCTCTATATACAAGGATACATTGTTACCTCTATATTATACAAGGATACATTGTTACCTCTATATTATACAAGGATACATTGTTACCTCTCTGTATATTATACAAGGATACATTGTTACCTCTCTGTATATTATACAAGGATACAGTAGATATCTCTAGAATGGGGGTGTATACTCTGGAAGGCAGTATCGGGGTCACTTTCTTGTCATCTGTAGAATGGGGGTGTATCCTGCCAGTACTCTATGAGAGGGCAGTGACAGGTCCTCCTGCGATGGGACCCTCCTGGTCCCTTGGTGTCCATGTTGGAGGCGTGTCCTGGGTAGTCCCTGTGCTCCGGCTGCCATGGCTGACCTACTTGTGGAAATACTAGTTGCCTTCCCCGGCTCGGAGTCACTGACCTGGAACAAGTATTCAGATTGCAGTTGGGATTTCATTCTGACTCTGCTGACTGCAGACTTGTTTTAGGTCAGCGACTTAGCCAGAGATAGCCAGTGTGACAGCATTTTCAGAGTCTTGTTCTCTGGGGTCCTGGACAGGGAGGGAAGGCTGTGTGCAGTCAGATGTGCACATATGGGATGGTGGTCACAAGTGGTCAAAGTGTAGGAGTCACTGATGAATCTATGGCTCCCATTGGACGCAGAATAGTAGATAGCACGGCCCATGGGTTGTATCCTGTGTGTACACACAGGGATCTCTACATATGAGTTCCATAGACTTCTCAGCAAGAAAAGCAAATTAGTCGTGTGGATGTCCTGGCTGCCTCTCCCAAACGACACCCTAAAAAAATCAAACCCTATAGGTAAGGGACAAACATGCACAAACAACCCCCCCCCCCCCAATCCCAAAATCCAACCCATCACTAAGCCGAGAACTCTGCAGGAGGTGCAGCTACATGTATGTGAAGGAGGACTGTAGAGAAGTGGCTGTAGCCGTACATCAAGGATGGGGGCAGGTCATCTAAAGCACGGGTGTCAAACTGGTGGCCCTCCAGCTGTTGCCAAACTACAAGTCCCATGAGGCATTGCAAGATTGACCCTAGGTGTCATTCAGCCTGGACTGGTGCTGGATCACAGAGAGGTCAGTCTGCAGGGAACAGCATCGGAGAAGAGGCGAGTATTGTGGACACAGTTGGGGGTTTTTTTATTACTATTTTAAGAGCTGCTGAGAAATTCTTTTATGATAAGCTACGTTTGGCTTTTATTCTCGCCAGTCTATGGCCATCACATTTGTGTATAATCTTGGCTTCACCTCTGTAGGCGCAGGCACTGTGGGGAAATCCATCATCAATTTTCACAGCCAGTTCTTTTTAGTTGGTAATATATATTTCTGCAGAAATGTTTTTGTTTTTTTTTTCGGGTATTTTTGTAAACTGTATCAGTCCTGTAAGAGCTTATGCCCCAAAATATGAAACCTAAAGCAGAAATGTACTCCCCACCCACCACCACCACCAATTGCATTTAGCTCCACTTAAGCCCTCCTTACGTACATCACATCTCCAAAGAGGTTGCAGGATTGGGCACACCGAGCTTCTGGAGGGTCATCGGTAGCTGGGTGCCTGCAGACGAAGGAGCAGCCAGCTAAAGAGAACAAAGATGGCGGCATAGGATCCTAGATATGTCACCTGACCAGTCGATTGCAGCAGGGCAATGCTGGACTGGCTGTGCAGATGAGTATGTGTTTTGAGGAGTACGCAGCAATACAGGTGTGAGGAACTAAAAAAAACCCAAGGGGGGAGTTCGGTACCACTCTGGGAACTAAACCTGTTTTGGAAACCATTTTAAATTGGTGGCTTTAGTTCCACTTGAAGTGATAACTCCAAAAACAAATGTACTGTCTACATGCATAGCTGAGATGTGTTTGGTACAGACCACAGATCTATGACCAGGGCAGCATTACCATCTTGGTCTGCTTGTGGCTCTCAGCGTACCTGTGTGGGGGCCAGAGTTGCAGGCGAATGTCTGGCCGGAGTTGCAGACGAATGTCTGGCCGGCGTTGCAGACGAATGTCTGGCCGGCGTTGCAGACGAATGTCTGACCGGCGTTGCAGACGAATGTCTGACCGGCGTTGCAGACGAATGTCTGACCGGCGTTGCAGACGAATGTCTGACCGGCGTTGCAGACGAATGTCTGACCGGCGTTGCAGACGAATGTCTGACCGGCGTTGCAGACGAAATTCTGGCCGGCGTTGCAGACGAATGTCTGACCGGCGTTGCAGACGAATGTCTGACCGGCGTTGCAGACGCCTGTCTGGCCGGAGTTGCAGACGCCTGTCTGACCGGAGTTGCAGACGCCTGTCTGACCGGAGTTGCAGACGCCTGTCTGACCGGAGTTGCAGACGCCTGTCTGACCGGAGTTGCAGACGCCTGTCTGACCTGAGTTGCAGACGCCTGTCTGACCGGAGTTGCAGACGCCTGTCTGACCGGAGTTGCAGACGCCTGTCTGACCGGAGTTGCAGACGCCTGTCTGACCGGAGTTGCAGACGCCTGTCTGACCGGAGTTGCAGACGCCTGTCTGACCGGAGTTGCAGACGCCTGTCTGACCGGAGTTGCAGACGACTGTCTGACCGGAGTTGCAGGCGACTGTCTGGCCGGAGTTGCAGGCGACTGTCTGGCCGGAGTTGCAGGCGACTGTCTGGCCGGAGTTGCAGGCGACTGTCTGGCCGGAGTTGCAGGCGACTGTCTGGCCGGAGTTGCAGGCGACTGTCTGGCCGGAGTTGCAGGCGACTGTCTGGCCGGAGTTGCAGGCGACTGTCTGGCCGGAGTTGCAGGCGACTGTCTGACTAGAGTGTCAAGCTAGACATGGAGGGTTTGTAAATCTCTACGGCACATGCATGTAGCCTGAATTGAATCCTCTGGTTGTGTATATAAACATGCCACTAAACGACGGCTCTTTCAGTTTCAGGTACTGCTACAGTCCTGGTGGAGATCACAGCGGACATCCACATCTGTGGACTCTGTAAGACTCAGTTCAGTAATCTGGATGCTTTCGTGACCCACAAGCAGAGCGGCTGCCAGCTCACCAATGCTGCCACCGGAGCCACGAGTACCGTCCAGTTTGTGTCAGGAGAAGCGGTGACACCATCACAGACTGTGGCTCGCACCATCACTTCGGAGACTCAGACCATCACCGGTAGGCACATTTCTGCACCATGAATGGCAAGGCCGGACCTGTCGTTTGCCTCAACTGTTATCTGATCATTATTATACAATGCAGTCCAAAAGCTGAGGGTTCCACATTCACTGGGCATCCTATCCAACGGAGTGATGTAACAAAGGAACAAACACACAATGGAACTCCAACCCTAGTGAATGTTAGGGACTGTCCAAACATAGGGGGATCCCATTCTGATTGGGTCTACAAAGTGTATCAGCATGGAGGGTTCCCCACCTCTCTGCGTCTTCTATCATTCAGCTGTGGGACCCTTGTCCTGTGTTGTTTGAGGTGTCCGTGGACTGAAGGTAGACCATAAAAATGAAATAGTTCAATCGTTCTCATACCAAATGGTGGTGCAATGAATGGATGAGGTGGAAAGGTGGGCAATGACATCACACAATCTCCACCTCATCCAATCAGAGAACACCTAGTTGAAAGATTTTGTAGAACTGGTGCACCCAGAATCTGGTCCAGCTCTGCATGGTAACCAATCCGCTTCTAACATCAGCTTGTTCAATTGAAGTATTACTAAACCCACAACAGTACAATCAGGCAATATATGCAGTAAAGCATGCTTGTTATGCTCACTGTGGAACCTAAGGGGTTAATGCTCTGCATTGTGTAAAAAAAGGCTGTTTGATCCTGTCTTCTCTGATCATCCCCTTCTTCCAATGTCCCCCTCTTATCTCCTGATAAGACATATTGCGTGGAGACACTCTGCACATGCTCAGTTTGTTGTGTATTGCTAGAGAGGTTTTTTTGGGGGGGAGAGAGTGTGTGTGATCAACACAGGGCCAATCAGCACTGTCCAGAAAGATGTCAGGGGTTTTGCATCCTCCTAGAACTCCTCCTACAAGCTTTAACCAGTGCTCTGCTGGACACTATGTCACAAGACTGCCATATACTGCTGATGAGAAAAGGTATTTAGCAGTTTATATTTACTAAAATAATTGCATTTCCATGTTGTGTGTACTGAGGGAGACCAGATATAGTGAATGCGGGGTCCAGGGAGAGCGGATATAGTGAATGCGGGGTCCGGGGAGAGCGGATATAGTGAATGCGGGGTCCGGGGAGAGCGGATATAGTGAATGCGGGGTCCGGGGAGAGCGGATATAGTGAATGCGGGGCCCGGGGTGAGGGGATGTAGTGAATGCGGGGTCCGGGGAGAGCGGATGTAGTGAATGCGGGGTCCGGGGAGAGCGGATGTAGTGAATGCGGGGTCCGGGGAGAGCGGATGTAGTGAATGCGGGGTCCGGGGAGAGCGGATGTAGTGAATGCGGGGTCCGGGGAGAGCGGATGTAGTGAATGCGGGGTCCGGGGAGAGCGGATATAGTGAATGCGGGGTCCGAGGAGAGCGGATATAGTGAATGCGGGGTCCGGGGAGACCGGATATAGTGAATGCGGGGTCCGGGGATAGCGGATATAGTGAATGCGGGGTCCGGGGGGGCCGGATATAGTGAATGCGGGGTCCGGGGATAGCGGATATAGTGAATGCGGGGTCCGGGGATAGCAGATATAGTGAATGCGAGGTCCGGGGAGAGCATAAAGCCAAGAACCAAATGATATTTTGCTGCTCTCCGGTCCTCAGATGCAATAGCTGCATTAGCCTCCTTTTTTAGGCATTTTTTCCTTTTTCTTTTTTTTCCTCCAGGTGATTTGGTCCGTGGTACACACCTGTCCTAGGGTGCCTCCACTCTGGGTGGAGGAGCAATGGAGGCACCACCATAGATAATAATTGACTTATTTGCTCCCGGAGCATTTTGGAGCTTCGAGCTACAACACTACAACACTCAGTTGTGGATGGGGCATGGGTTGGGTGTTTTGTAGCTCACAGAAGATAACTGGGAAGGCTGACAACATTGTATTAGATCTGAGTTCAGTGCGAAGGAACTTGCAAGGCCGGGCAGCCTCAACGGGTATTTTTCTGTACTCAGTCTGAAAAGAATAAAATGAATACAAGCAGCGCATCTAAGGACTGGTAACTGCAAAATCATATATTTTTGTTCTTGGGTTTAGATATCCTTTCATTTTGTCATCGTAAACTACATTTAAATTGTCTGCTTTATTGTACTGTACATTACCTATGGCACCTTCTTCTTCTGTCCAGTCTCTGCTCCGGAATTTGTTTTTGAACATGGCTATCAAACCTTTCTGCCTAGTGACAGCTCCATGATGCCGTCTATTGGTGGGGCCACTATCACTACGAAAGTCGATCCAAAAAACTATCTGCTGCCTCCCCTCAGAAGAAACAGAGCTGCACCTATCCAGGTGAGAGGGGGTGGAACTTCTTTAGTTGGTAATAAATATTTGTGTTTAGTGAGTGTGTAGTAAGATAACTTCTTTTTTTTTTTTTGCGTATAGGATGTCCGTTCAAGACTGCTTATGGCATGAAAGACATGGAACGCCACATGAGGACCCACACAGGTAATTCTTGTTTCTGATCCCCGGTGCACACCCAATAAGCAAACCAGTAATACTCTTATTTCTATACATTCATGTAAAACAGAGGTGGGCATTGTGGGACGGCCATTCCAGAGGTGGGCATTGTGGGACGGCCATTCCAGAGGTGGGCATTGTGGGACGTCCATTCCAGAGGTGGGCATTGTGGGACGTCCATTCCAGAGGTGGGCATTGTGGGACGTCCATTCCAGAGGTGGGCATTGTGGGACGGCCATTGCAGAGGTGGGCATTGTGGGACGTCCATTCCAGAGGTGGGCATTGTGGGACGTCCATTCCAGAGGTGGGCATTGTGGGACGTCCATTCCAGAGGTGGGCATTGTGGGACGTCCATTCCAGAGGTGGGCATTGTGGGACGGCCATTCCAGAGGTGGGCATTGTGGGACGGCCATTGCAGAGGTGGGCATTGTGGGACGGCCATTGCAGAGGTGGGCATTGTGGGACGTCCATTCCAGAGGTGGGCATTGTGGGACGTCCATTCCAGAGGTGGGCATTGTGGGACGTCCATTCCAGAGGTGGGCATTGTGGGACGTCCATTGTGGGACGTCCATTCCAGAGGTGGGCATTGTGGGACATGCATTTGTGGCTGAACTACAGAGCTACAAGACTTTCCACAAATCTACAATGAATTAGTAGAAAGCCGCTTTTTACAAATTAAAGAGTCTAATGTATCTAATAAAGTATTTTGTGTAGCACCCTCCTAATGTATAACAGGCTGCTAGGTAAATTTAGTTGGCTCCCCTGTAATCCGTGGATCAGAGGTTGATTATTTAGGGTTGATCAGTGTCTCACAGGCGCATGCTCTATTACTTCCTCCTGTCTTCTAGGAGATTCTAGAACCATAGTGGTAGGAAGAACAGAGCAGGCAGCCTGAATATTTATAACACTCCAGCCAATCCCTGGAGAGGTGTGCCCAGTAGGTGGTGAGAGAGCTTATAAATAGTCTGAGGCCTGGGCAGAAAGTGCATTGTTCATGGGTCCAGTCCTGCAGGAGGAGACCCCTATGCGGCTCTGCCCCCTGGTGCAGAATCCTAGAGGTAGACAATGAGGTTCCAGCTAGGCTCATCTTGGGGGCCTCTTTGCAGATCCATGTCCAGGGATCAAGTTGGGTCTGGAGAAGCCCACTTAAGAGAATCATGAGGAAGATGGGGTCAAAAGATTCCAGCTGTCCTATGGTGTTGTAAGTCACATCTCCCTCAGTAGGAAGAGCCTGGTGGATATCAGCAAGAGGCCATGATCATGTGAGTAGGTGACCCTGGTGCTGAAGGCACATGACCTTGTGTAGCTATTTAACTGGAGGGGGTACAGGTCACTAGCATAGGGATCCTGTGGGACTTTCATCAGTTTGCGCAGTGCAGCCAGAAACTGAGGAGCCCTCAAGTTATCCAATTGTACAGTTTTCAGGTGTTCCCATGCTCCCTATCCCTATCCCCGTTCATTGTTCCCAATATGAACTGTAAAAAGAATGCCCAGGGCCAGTGGAAGAATGAAGAAAATGCTGTGTGTACTCTAAGTGGGGAAATAGAGGCTTGTTCGGGGGTGCACTACATTCATTTAGATGTTTATGAAAGATGCAGTAGATGTATAAAACACAGACCATGTTAAGAAGAAATTTTGACCAGTTCTTGTCTGAATGGCTGATGGACGACTGCAATCAGTAGAAGGCTAAATCACAAATTTTGCAGAACATGTGTGCAGCCCTTGGGGTATTCCAGCTTGAAATGAATCCGGAAATAATTGTTTAAAGGATAACTGTATTATCCTTTAAAGTCCCCTTTCCCGGCCTCAAACCTACCTGAACCTGTCCAGTGAGATCGTTGCAGTTCCCAGTGGGCCACACAGCCACCACCTCAATGGTCTCTCTCCGGGGCTTTGATTCTTACATGCATGCTTGCTGTAGCCTCCATTTATTCCTATAGAAATCCTTTGCCCAGATGCTTAACAGCCTTTCCATAAGGATACTGTCAGAACATCTGATCTAGATGCTGGCTATGGCCAGAGGGTCCGTATGACAGACAAATGGCTAGCATTTTCAGAAACAGAGGTTTGTATCAACGGTTTAGGAATCTCTTAGTAAAGGTTTCCTGTCTGCAAACAGGTCTTACCAGTAATGAATATACAGAGCTTGAGTACAGGGCCGTGGATAAGGGGGTACCACCAGTCCTCCTGTATGGGGCCGAGGCCAGCAGAGGGGCCCAGCGAGCTAGGTGAAGTAGATGTGGGCAGGGAGGGTGATTGGCACTGCAGAGGGGCAATTACTGGAACTGATCCCCTGTATGGCTCTCTCCAGCAGCTGAAAGCTGGCTTCTTCTCATCTCCCTCCCACTGGCTGTCAGCTGCTGCAGAGAAGAGCCATACAGGGGATCAGTTCCAGTAATACCTCCACCACACCCATCACCCTCCCTGTGCACCATACGTTTCTCCTTGCTGCCCAGGTCCCCCTGTGTGCCCCCACAGTGCTGCCGGCTTCCCTCCTCTCCTTCCCATTGGCAGCTGCAAGCACACAAAAGAATCCTTCAGGATGGAGAATAAGGGACGGGTCCGATAAATATGTCACATTCACCAGCCCCTTCCTTTCCTGAATGAACACAATAAGTGCTCAGTACCGATCGCTCACTGTGTTCATTCATAACTAAAGCATAGTCAACTGGTTTTTTTTTTTTTTGGAGGGGAGCCCTGTCAGGTTGGCTGTGTGGGGCCCCGTGGTTTCTAACAGCAGCCCTGCTTGAGTGTGTCTGATTACAGATATATGATGGAAAGCACCATCTAATTGGCTCATTTAGAGTGTGTATGAAAGGAGACCTGTCTGTGTTACCTAGTTTTTCCCTTCCATAGGTGAGGATATAATAATTCTTTCTGACCGTGTGATCTTCTCCCCTCTCTTAGGTGATAAGCCGCACAGATGTGACACTTGTGGAAAGTGTTTCAGCCGGAAGGACAAGCTAAAGACGCACATCCGCTCACATACGGGAGAAAAGCCGTACAAGTGTAAAGAATGCGACTATAGTGCAGCAGACAGCAGCAGCCTCTGCAAACACATGCGCATTCACACAGATGAGCGCCCCTTCAAATGCCAGATCTGCCCATACGCCAGCCGGAACTCCAGTCAGCTGACCGTTCATCTCCGTTCACACACAGGTGAGCTGATCCCTCTACCCCCGAGAGCAGACCTTGCAGCCCCCTCATTCCCCCCCCACACCCCAGAAGAAACCGGTAAAAAGTACTCGCCTTACACCATCGCATCTCGCTCACCAGGGTAGGGTGGTGTCACTGGGCTTCACCATGGAATACTGGGGAAACTGAGGATATTGAAATCCCATTCATTGTTTAGTGAACAATAAAAAACCCCAATGGTGCTTAAATACCATCAAAAGAAAGCTCTATCCGTCTAAAAAAAGGATTACGTTTTCATATGGGCCCAGTGTAGCATCACCGCACAAGTGTCGCTCAAAGTGCGACAGCGCTGAAAGCTGAAAATTGGCGTGGGCAGGAAGGGGATGAAAGTGCCCGGTATTAAAGTGGTTAGGAGTATCTCACCAGAACTGAAATTACAATTGCAGAGGATGCCTAAGATCTGACTTCGTGCAGACGTCTTGGAAAATCAGTGAACTACTCACTCATACGTGGAATGACATTTCTAGGGGTGTTCTGTACACCAATGGTGTACACAAGGCTAACGGGTTGCCATACTGCATTGAGTTTTACAGAAAATTACAGATAGAAAAGGAAAAGCCATTTTTAACTAAATTAAATATTATATATTTTTTTGGCTACATTTTGGCCATACAATTGGAATTACCCTTTAAAGTGGATTGAAAGGTAGACATTTTTTTTACCTTTAATATAGGGGTGGGCAACTGTGGCCCTCCAGCTGTTGGTGAGTCTTTGGGAGTCGTGCTTGTAACTGTCAGTTTTGCAATGCCTCATGGGACTTGTAGTTCTACAACAGCTGGAGGGCCACAGTTGCCCACCCCTGCCTTAATACATTCTCTGCATTAAGGTAAAAAACCTTAAACCCCCCCCCCCATATACCTACCTGAGCTTGATCTCCATCCAGCAATGTGCACAAGAGCAGTGGCTCTCTATGCTCTCTCCCTCCTCATTGGCTCAGAGATAGCAGTGGGAGCCATTGGCTCCTGCTGCTGTCAATCACAGCCAGTGAGGAGAGGTTGAGGAGGCGAGGCCAACTGTGCTCTGTGAGACACAGAGCGAGACTCCGGAGCAAGCATGCACGAGTGCCCCTATAGAAAGTGGGTCACACAGCAGAGAGAAGGAGCCAGGAGTGTTGACAGGGGGACCCGGGCTTGCACGGAGCAGGTAAGTACGACATGTTTGTTAGTTTAATTTAAAATAAATAAATAAAATGGAGCATTTGCAATCAATTTAAGGCACTCTGGCTACTTGGAGTTTGTCCATACTTGTTTGTAGGGCCTGTAAACACAACATTTATATGCATCAGAAATACAAAGCAGCTCTGAGTGTTTTTGTCTCCCCGAGGGAAATCACATTTCTTCTGGTTCATATATATTTATTCCCTTTAGGCAGAAAAGGGTTAAATAACTTCAAGGAAATCGTTTTAAGAGTTCTGAAAATGTTAAATCGGCTTTCTTTTCTTGTTTAGGGAAAGAGAAAAAAAAACCAGGAATAGAAAGTGTAAAAACATATATGGATATCAGGCGGGTGATCTTGGCGGGATAATCATCTAAATGCATAGTAATGTGCTTTCTGATCTGCATAATAAAGCTTTTAGCGCGATTAAGTGTGAAATTCAACCAAATATTGCGAGACTGTTTACAAAGCTGAAAGAATAAAAAAAAAAAAATCTTTATGATGAGAATAAATTTGGAGTAAAAACAGTTTTTACTACAAATTGGTCTCCCACTGATATTTTAATTAAAATCCACTTTTAATGTACGGAGAACAAAGTGCGGTTTGAAAGCTCACATCAGTTCCGTGGCAGCGGAATGTTCCGGGAGGTTAAAAGTTTATTCGGCAGACGATGAGAAATCGGGCGGGCAGGAATCTGCTTCTGCTGTGTGTGAGAGGCGATGGCAGGTTTGCAGTACGCAGTGATCCCTACGTTTACTGCCCCCCATATGTCTTTATGATGCAAAGCTGAACTCCAGGCCAGTATAAAAGACACTAAATAATGCAGCTCTGTATCAATATCTTCATTAATAGATCACTAAGTATTGTTTTTTTTTAATGCTAGCAGTGTACCTGAATGTGACCTAGTATCAGTCTCTTGCAGTTCCTGTACAGCAGAGCACAGACAGGGAGAGGGAAATGCTGCACAACAAGCCAGACAGTCAGCTGTGCTGGTGTACTAACCAGGGAAACATGCAGAGCAACATGAGCTCCATCAGTCTGCTGCTTCTGCTTTCACTGTCCAGTCACAGGCTGCGGAAGGGATAGAACCAGGGGCGGACTGACCATTTGGGAACTCTGGCACTGCCTGAGGGCCCGGGGTCAGTAGGGGGCCCCATGAGATTCCCCTGGTACCTTTTTCATAGGCTTTTTTGGATGTGGTTTGAGTGTGGGCGAGGAAACAAGGGCCCCATGATCCCCTATTGCCCAGGGGCCCCATGAGTTGTCAGTCCACCCCTGGACAGAACCTGAGAATAATGGGGTCTCCTGCCCTGATGGAACGGGCTGTGCTGTGTCACAGAGCTGTGCAAAACTCTGGGAAGAGATGCAAACCCTTTGGCAAGTAGAACAACTCCCATAAATGCATTTTATTTCTGTATGTGACCCCTTCCTACCCACCCTGGCACCCCTTCATCCTTTTAGCCACCTCTCGCCCGCCATATTGGGAAATGTTCTGGGAGGACATCATATGACTGCAAAAATTATAAATCCTTTGCAATGCCAGGGTTAAATACTTGTTTGGTCTTACAGAAGAGAATTGAAGTGATTCTTAAGGTTGTCTTTTTTTTTTTTCAATTAACAAATATGTCATATTTACCAGCTCTGTGTAATGGTTTTGCACAGAGCAGCCCCAGTCCTCTTCTTGGGTCCCCAGCCGGCCACCCTAGCTCCTTTTGCCTGCCAAGTGCCCCCCAATAGCACATTGTCTATTTACACACAGAGTGGTGCTCTGCACCTTCCCCTGCTCTCTCCCCATTGGCTACCTGGCTGTGCTTGACAGCAGCTTGCTATGGGGGCACCCGAGCAGGCTCGCTCCCCAGCCGCTGCTGTGTGTGTGTCCATTCATACACTGAGTGTGGGTCGGCCCCACCTCCCACTCTTTACTCATTAGCTCACTGGCTGTGATTGACAGCTGCTGCGTGAGCCAATGATAAGAGACTGGCATTGAAAGCAATGTGAGGCTGACAGCTCCCACAACTATTTGCGGGCACTTGCATGTAATCTCACAAACAGCAAATACCTGCAGGAGCTGTCAGCCTCGCATTGCTTTCAATGGGGTTTCCACCCCATCACCCACCTACACTGGTGACTTCTGTTAATCTAGTCTCTAACGGCCCCCTTTGCAAGTGTCAATGGGGCCATATTTTTGTCCTGGTTAGAGTGTCCCCATTGTGGAAATGTCCCCTCACTTCCTATTTATGTTGCCTGAACAGGAAATGGGCACGATTCTCTCCAAAGGTGACAGACACGATTAGTAAAGTGTGGAAGGGTTACGGGTGTCAAATTGGCGGCCCTCCAGCTGTTGCCAAACTGCAAGTCCCATGAGGCATTGCAAGACTGACAGTAGCAAGCATGACTCCCGAAGGCAGAGGCCTGATGGGACTTGTAGTTTGGCAACGGCTGGAGGGCCGCCAGTTTGACACCCCTTAGAACATCTATGAATATGATCATTTGCATCCACAATGGGGAAGTGATCCCTCACTTCCTGTTCCAGTTCAAGGTGAAATCTATCCAACAGGGACCCTTTGAGTAATAAAAACCCAAAAGCGCTTCTCCCCCCCCATCCCCAACTTCTCCAAAACTAAAAATAAACTTGAATGTGCTACTACATCGCATTCTCACGGGGTGTGGGATCCTCGTCCTTCGAAGAATCGGGGGGGGGTAAAGGGGGGTTATTTCTTTTTAAATTGAGTTTTTTTTGCGGAGGTGGAACTTAAAGCGGAGTTCCACCCTTTTTTTCATGATCCTTACCACACAATGCCCACCCGCAGAACAGTCTGTTATGGGATATTTTTTTTAATTTATTGATTTCTAAATACCTTTTTTTTGCTGTCAGTATCCTGCACTTCCAGTCCGGCCGCCTAGGCAATTTCATCGTTAGGCGATTCCCTAGAAATCGCCATTGGTTTTCCCAGGTGTCTTTGGGAAGCCTAATGGTGAAGTTTCGCAATATTTCTTGACCGGAAGTGATGTTATGGGGAGGAATGATTGACAGGTTGCCATAACAACGGGGCGGGATCTTCCTTCGCCACCTCCATTGTTATGGCAAACTACAAACAGTGTGCCGTCCTCTGTCCTTACAGCGCAAGAGCTAGATCAGGAGGTGCATGCTGGGTAGCCAGCTGCACCGAATCCAGAAGAAAGTAGAAGCTGGCTTCAAATGCCCACACTAGTAATGGCCGCTGCCTGCCTGCTGGGATCCTGCTGAGGAATGTCCCATTTACAAGTAAGCACATGACATACACTAGAACACTGTCCTAACTATATACTGCAACTGAAGAGAATCACGGAGGTGGTTTTTGTAGAAAAGTGCAGAGGAGACTGGAACTCTGCTTTAAGTGGATCTAATTATGGGATGGCTCACCAGACTGTTGCCTTGCTGCTTGCATGTCATCCAATCCCTCTGACCTTCGTTCTTTTATTCCAGGTGATGCCCCCTTCCAATGCATGCTCTGCAGCTCCAAGTTTAAAATCAACTCGGACTTGAGAAGACACATGCGCGTTCACACGGGGGAGAAAACCCTACCGCTGCGAGTTCTGTGACTTCTTCTGTGCCATGAAGGGAAATCTGAAGTCCCACATCCGGATGAAACACAATTCAGAATGCACCTTCAAGTGTACACAGTGCGACTTTCAGTGCAGCAGCAAGGGAGACCTACGCCAACACTTGCGCACTCATCTGCCGGAGCTACCCGTGAAGTGCTTGGAATGCAGCTACTCCTGCGCCAACCGGGCGGCGCTCAAAGTCCACGAGCGCATTCACTCCCAGGACCGGCCTTTCAAATGCCACCTGTGCCAATTTGACACTAAACAGCGCAGCAACCTGACCACGCACATTAAAAAAGTTCACAGCGACGAGGTGAACTGCAAGTTTGACGCTCAGAAAGCCGATGGGAACTTGGCCAGGCAGTACGGATCTCGGAAAAGTAACAAAGTGGACGCAAAGAAAACTTTCAAGTGTGACCTCTGTGAGGCCTCGTTTGTTAGGGAGGACTCCTTACGGAGTCATAAGAGACAGCACAACGAGATCATGTTTCAAAAAGCCCAAGAACTATCCATTTTACAGCTTTCTGTTGACCAATCTAGAGAAAGTGACGCTGACAAATCTGGCAAAGATGACACTGTCGCAGCTTTTATTGTAGGAAAGATGAAAGTGGATGACGGGGAAGATCGTTGTGGGGCTTCCTTGACGAATGCAGACCCCTCTAGTGAAGAAAGGAATGGACAAGAGTCCATGGCCACCGACCAGCTCCATATGTTAAGTCACGTCAATTTAATGGCCTCGCCTCAGTCTTTAGGGTCACAGGTCATTGTTTGTGAGACGGTTGTCCCCGGTTCTCCGACACAGGACAGTGAGGACTCCATACAGGAGGTGCTTATAGAAAATGGGGAAGAAAGCGACCCAGAATCCCCGGAGAACCCAACCTTTATCTCTGAGTCAGGTATGAGCTGTTCTGACCTTGATGGTCTCAATGCCTTAATCCAAGAGGAGACCACAGTAGTGATTGTGGACAGTGAAGGTGGAGATCATCCTGGAGCCTCGTCCCCTATTTATAGCACATCCCCCCAAGCTGATTCTCCAAAGGAAAGCTACACTATGGAAGACGGTGATACCAGCTCCGAGCTGCTGTGCCCTGCAGACGCCATACCAGACTGACCTGCGTTAATGCTGCTAATCTGCGCCACCTTTTATTTTCTGTTTGCAACAGTGTTGTTCAGCAAACTGGTCTTTGTATGTGAACACTGGGAAACCTGCCCCCCTTTTTTTTTTTTTTTTGGTGACCTTAAAGAGAAAGGTACGATACCAGTGGAAGAGGTACCCAAATTTACACTTGGCAATGGACGACTGTTACTGCTCCACCCAACTGGAAAAAAAAAAACATAAGCTGAAGGGACGAGTACGGCAATGGAAATTTAATAATAAATACAGAAAACAGAGTTTGTTTTGTAAGGTTTACACAAATTTTATTTTATGGTAGAATGTTTCCTGGAAATTACATAAAATAAAATACAGGTGAACACTATCATTAGGCTTGGGCTCCAGTGATGAGCAAAGTGAAAGAAACATCACGTCATCACGTCAGCACGAAAATGGTACAAAACTGAATCCAACTAACTAAAGGAAGAACTTTATTTTTTTACATTTTGGATAGAGCAAGGGAGGGTTATAACCTCTGTCCCCCATTGAGGAGATTTCCCTTCACCCTCCACCCCATAGCCCAACAGGAAGTGAGAGGAATTCCCTGCAAATTAAGGGAATCTATTGGTGCCCCCCCCCCCCCCAGGTCACCAGAACTAGTGTCCTCATTTCCTTCTATTACTGTTCTAGGGACAACCCCAAATGTGGGCTTTTCTTCTACTTTCACGTTCAATGATAACGGTGAAGAGGGGAAACTAGAGAGGGTGAATCTCCATAATGGGAGCACAGAGGGAAATAAAAACCTGAGAGGGGTTCTAAACTCTCTACTCCATCCAAAACTGAAAAAAACATTTTGCCTTTAGTTACATTTTAAATAGGAATAGATACAGTGATTGTAAAGCTGAAGGTTTGTTTACCTTCATGCAGTCTATGCATAAAGGTAAAAATTCTGTGTGCAGCCCCCCCCCCCCAATACTCACCTGAGCCCCATCTTGATCCAGCAGCTCTCCTGGCTATCTTCCTCCTCATTGGCCAATGGCTCCCGCTACTGTCAGTCACAGCCACACATTGCTTTCGGTGCCAGTCTCTCCCTATTGGCTCACACAGTAGTGGGAGCCATTGGCTCCTGCTGCTGTCAATCACAGCCAGTGAGCCAATGAGGAGAGGCGCCGAGCCACACTCCATGTGTGTATGCAAACACGGAGCAGCTGCTTGGGAGCAAGCATGCTCGGGTTCCCCCCATAGCAAGCAGCTTGCTATGGGGTACTCAACAGGAGGGAGGGGCCAGAGGTTCCAGAGGGGGGGGGGGACCCAAGAAGAGAAGGATCACGGCTGCTCTGTGCTAAACCACTTCACAGAGCAGGTAAGTATGATGTGTTTGTTATCTCTCTATGGCCAGCATAAGTGACAATATCTTTAAGGTGGTGCCTGGATATCATTCAAGCTTTGCTGCCCTCCTCAGATTGGGGAATCTTTGATTCTGAATGAAATAAACATCAAAGAAGGGGTGCGCCAGCCTTGTGCTGTATCTTTAGACACCAATGTTTGTTAATATAATTACAAATATACTCACAAAAGTCATGAGGCTTGTAGCAGAAAACATGATGGAGACCTCAGTCACTCAGTACACCAAATCAAGGACCTGGATGGCCTATGGAAGACCCCAATATTGCAGTCTGACAGCTGAGAAAAATCTGAGCCCACGCCGCTGTGTGCAGGAGTGCCAGCACCTTGGAACCTGCTCCTGTACACCGTATTGTGGGCACAGAGGTTTCTCAGTGGTCAGATCGGCAGTCTATGACACAGAAAGGTTTTCAGCCTTGTTCACACAGGCGTCCTATAGCGTACGGGATGTATAGGTGTTCCATGCAGGTAGTCCCCTTCATGTCTATTGGGATGCAGCGGCTGCTCCTCTCAATTTGACATCCTTGTGGGCGCGGCTGCATCTCACTGACTGCAGACAGTGTGCATTCGGGGCTGTGCAGCCACTGTCTTCCAATTGACATCAATGGGGCTTCCTGCCAGGGGTGGACTGACAACTCATGGGGCCCCCGGGCAATAGGGGATCATGGGGCCCCTGTGTCCTTGCCCAAACTCAAAAAAGCCTATGAAAAAGGTACCAGGGGCATCTCATGGGGCCCCCTACTGACCCTGGGCCCTCAGGCAGTGCCCGAGTTTCCAAATGGTGAGTCCGCCCCTGCTTCCTGCACGGATCACCTGTGTGGATAAACACGGCCCTCATACGTCTGTACACTGTAGTCATGTGAGCGAGGTCTTATGGCAAAACTAAGCAGCAAAAAAAAAAAAAACTACATCCAAGCTTTTTTTTTTTTTTTGGACTTTAGTTCCACTTTAAAGTGGAGTTCCACTCACCCGTCAAAAAATAAAAGTCAGCAGCTACAGCCACTTACCTGTCCCTCGGTCCCGCTGTGTCCTCCCCGCAGCCCGTTTCACCGGTTGTCCTGGATTCCAGGAGGCTGGCATCTTAAGTGTGGGCACCCGGCTGTGCAGCTTGCGGCTTCACAGCTGGGTACCCACTGCGCATGTGCGAGAAGCGCTGCGCTTTATGAATGGTCCTGTAGTCTTCTGGGACCTGTCGTGTCCCAAAAGACTATGGGGAGGGAGGACACCTTCCGCTTCCGATCACCTAGGTGATCGGACTGGAAATGGGAGCGGGTGCCTGTCAAATTCGGGTACCCGCTCCCCAAAAGTGCCAATCCTTAATGGGGAGCAGTCCTTAAAGCGGAACGTCCCCTTTTGGGTGGAGCTCCGTTTTAAGGCCTGGTTCACACTGATGCCAATTGTCATGTGACTTGATCGCTCAAATAGCATCCAATGCTCGGCAATGGAACCAGGGGCGGACTGACCATTTGGAAACTCGGGCACTGCCCGAGGGCCTGGGGTCAGTAGGGGGCCCCATGAGATGCCCCTGGTACCTTTTTCATAGGCTTTTTTGAGTTTGGGCAAGGACACAGGGGCCCCATGATCCCCTATTGCCCGGGGGCCCCATGAGTTGTCAGTCCGCCCCTGAATGGAACCATTCTAATTGGTGTGACTTTGACTTCGTTGGAAGTGCACCGATAAGAAAAGTAGTTCATGCACTACTTTTGCCGATTTGGGGTGCGACTTGCATAGACATCTGTGCATGAAGTCACACAGATGTCTATGAAGTCAGAACCGAAACTGCACTGCCATCCCAAATGAAGTCGTAGCACCACAGTGGCTAAATGGTTAGCACTTCCGCCTGGCGGTACTCGGGTCATTGGTTCGAATCCCAACCATGGCACCACCTGCCTGGAGTTTACATGTTCTCCCTGTGCCTGCGTGGGTTTCCTCCGGGTACTCCGGTTTCCTCCCACACTCCAAAGACATGCTGAATTGGCTCCTGTCTAAATTGGCCCTAGTATGTATGAATGTAAGTTAGGGACCTTAGATTGTACACCCCCTGAGGGTTAGGGACTGATGTGAATGTACAATATATATGTAAAGTGCTGCGTAAATTGACAGCGCTATATAAGTACCTGAAATAATAATATACAAGTCGTATGATTTCAAAGTTGGATCCAGCGTGAACCAGGGCTAAAGCTCAGCTCCAGCATTTTTTTTTTGTCTTTACACCTTTTATTTATTTATTTCAGGTACTTATATAGCGCCATCGATTTACACCGCGCTTTACATATATATTGTACATTCACATCAGTCCCTAGCCCTCACCTTCCTTAGTAAGTGCTCCCTTCGGGGGGACCTGTAATAATAATCTTTTGTTACTGACTGATCTACAAAGATTTGGTACAATTCCTCCAAATTCAAATGTTAAAATATTATCAGTGGTGGAAATAGCAGCGAAGGATTTGCATTCAGATGCAGTCGATGTATTCTACGCTGCATCCTCAAGCAGTTTCATCTGCTGCAGGCAGAGGGCGTAAGAGACCAAAGTACAAACTGCTGATGGAGGTAATATTCCGGCGTGAAGTCTGCGGTGATTGTGCCGCCCCCCCCCCCAGTCCCAGCAACAGTTTCTATTGCAACCAATATATATGCAGCTAATTGACTTACAAAAGGGGAGCATTGCCAGGGGCCCATCCTGGCTGTTAACTGATTGACGGTTTTTGTATCTTTTGTGTGAACCTGTTGCCTGGATAAACTGTTTGTTTTTTGTTTGTTTTTTTTTTAATTCACTTTATTTCACCTCGAGAGGAAAGATTGCGGCCACACGCAGCCCTGGTGAAGGGGACGCAGTAATTGCCCTGAAACACCTCTATGAACCATTCTATATGTATGATGAAGATGCACCTGCATGCCCTTAGTTATGGAGGTTCAGCCCCTCTCCATGGAATTGGACGCACCCTGTATGGATTTTCTTGCTCATTGTACAGTTTATGTATCTATGCTGTAATGCAGGGGCCTCCAAACTCTCTAAACAAAGGGCCAGTTTACTGTCCTTCAGACTTTAGGGGGGCCGGACTGTGGACAGTGCGAGAAGAAAATGCCTCAGACTTGGTGGTCAGTGAGGGTAAAATAATTACATAATGCCTGTGGATAGGAGGTATTGGTATTAGTGGAAAGAATCAGCAACATAGTTGGTGTCAGTGGGAGGAGTGGTGTCACATTGTTGGTATCAGTAGGAAGAATAGTGCCCCATCATTACTATTAGTGGGAGGAATAGTGCCCCATCACTGGTGTCAATAGGAGGAATAGTGTCCCATCATTGGTGTCAGTGGGAGGAATAGTGTCCCATCATTGGTATCAGTGGGAGGAATAGTGCCCCATCATTGGTGTCAGTGGGAGGAATAGTGCCCCATCATTGGTATCAGTGGGAGGAATAGTGCCCCATCATTGGTGTCAGTGGGAGGAATAGTGCCCCATCATTATAATCAGTGGGAGGAATAGTGCCCCATCATTGGTGTCAGTGGGAGGAATAGTGCCCCATCATTGGTGTCAGTGGGAGGAATAGTGCCCCATCATTGGTGTCAGTGGGAGGAATAGTGCCCCATCATTGGTGTCAGTGGGAGGAATAG